AATCGGCTTTAATTGGATTAAAAATTTTTGCCAATTGGTTTTTAATCGGAATTTTTAAACGGGGGAAATTTTTTAAGAAAAACGTTTTTTCTAATGTTTTAAAAAATTATTACTTGCAAATCTTAAAATCACGTTTTCTTAACGTTAAATAAACATTTTCTTCAAATTTAAAAAAAATGTTTCTATAACATTTAAAAAATATTCCTTTTAACGTTAAAATAAACGTTTTTTTAATGAAAAAAAGGGGACTTAATCCATTATTTTTAACGTTTTTTAAAATGTTTTCAAAAACGTTTCTCAAATGATTTTAAAAACATTTTTTTAAATATTTTTTGCTGCTTGGGTAATATTAAAGAAATAAATTATATATATTAAATTAATAATTTTTTAACAAAATATAAATATGTTATTGTAAAATATGACAATATCGCATTATTTTCTACGTTGGTATTATCGTTTATCAAGCTTCAAGTGTAGAATTAAAGTGCTTCGAATATAATGTGCTTTGAATCTCGTGAATGAAAAACAATAAATATCGTTGAAAAGGAAAATGAATATTACATGAAAATAACTATTTGCGTCGCCAAAAATTAAAAAGTATTGACAATAACCTCTTCTATTCAAATGACAGATGTCATAAATATTTACTGTGATCAAGCGTATAGGAATTACCATAAATTGCAGTCGTAAGGATTTCTTTTTTCTTAGGCTTTCAATCGTAGCTCAATAGATGTATTATTTATTTATGTAATCTGATTCGGGAGACGTAAGCATTTTGTACATATAAACTACAGAACTTCTACACTAATGAAATGTTTACATCAATTAGTGACAGCTATACGATCCGGAAAAATGTAATTTTTTAATTTTTTTCGTTTTGACTACAAATTCTTTCGTCCCCCAAATACATTTTATGTCTATTTCAATCCTGTAAAAGGATTTTCAATTCCGTTCTGTCATTTCGGAGAAATCTTTATTCAAAATTAACACATAAATTAAAATACACGAAAATGCAAAAAATATTATATTAGCGATATTGTATAGTTTCTTAATGGAAACTAAAGAATAAAGTGCCTAAAGCTAAAAAAAAAGAAAATTAAAAAATATGCTTTGTCCTTAATTATATACAGGGTGTCCCAAAATTGGCGCATACGGAGTACAGGACGTGATACTTTGTGCTAAAAGAAACAACTTTTTCCTTTAGCAAATTTTGATCTGTTAAGTAATTTTGGCAGGAGAGCTGGTTAAA